GTCCTTCCCTTCACTCTCCTAAACCTTGTCCTTCCTTACTTTTCTCTCCTTCCCTCTCCCTAACGTCTTTCTCTCCTTCTCTCTCTCTCTCCCTAACTCCATCCTTCCCTCCTCTCTCCATAGCTACGTCCTTCTCTCCTTTCTCTCTATCCCTCTCTCCCTAACCCCTCCTTTCTCTTTCCTTACTTCTCTCCCTAACTCCGTCCTTTCCTCCTTCTCCCTTTCATTTCCCATTTGTTATGATTGTTAGCAACTCTATAAAAACAATAACTGTTCAGAAACTGCATTTTTGTTTATATAAACGGGTGTATTCCTTTTGATATATCAACAATATATTTTGTCTAAAAGAATTTAATATACAGTCTTATATCTATCGACCAAATGCCAATAGGCTGCAGCACTAGTGTTTTGGGTGACCCACGGTTGCACCCTTACTACCTCATACAGTCGCTATTCGAAGTTAGTAAATATTTGCTAATGCACGGCCATTTAGATAGAATTCCGATGCAACACCTACACATGGAGGCGCTAAGGTATATAAGCTTCTCTGTACTTTTTTTTTATAGTCTGACCTGTGTGGCACATGTTCTCTGCAACTAGTTGCGTTTTGTACTAGGTCTCTTTGTGTCTCTCCCTTTTTTCTTTTTTGGTTAGCCACATATATACATTCTTACATTATTAGCATTAATCTTTATTGTAGTTTTATACAAATACACAAGTTTTTTTGATGTAAGACATATTTGTCTGAGTTTAGATAAAGCCTGCCATTGTTTATTTGTTGCTTGTGTGGGTGCTGACAAATAATAAATCCGTTGTTTGTATTTGTCCACTTGCTAAAGTAGAGATAGTTCCTATGTTTTCTGCAATCACAATTTTCTCATTTGTACGTCTGATATAACAACGGTATCTACCACTGTTTAGTTTATGTTATAATTGCTGCTATTGTCATCTTCATTCGTTACAGTTGTGAACAATTTAGTGTAAATTTCTAATTCTACACCTGTTATATATATGGCAAAGATCACTGTTATTGTCACTATTACATGACCTAAAGTAAGTACCTTCTTATATGACCTGACTGTTAGATTTTCTGGTTTCATGCTTTATAATATCCTTTGTAATTATGTTCTCAATAACTATGACACTTACAAACATTTAGAATTTCATCTTCAGTGCTTCTTTCCATTAATCCGTTAGAATTTACCATCAATTACAAAATCATTGACCGAAATTTTCAGAAACATCATTCATTATCATCATCAGGATCTTCTAATTAATTTTCTTGTTTATTAACAGAATTTGTCACGTCATATGCTTGGTGTTTGTGGCGGTGTGGGCGGGGCCAGTTACGGGCCAAGGGGACTTACTGGCTCTCGAGAGCTCAGTGGGCGGAGCTATGTCCGTAGTCCCGCCTCCCGAAGAAGTGGACACCAATATGTTGATGCCCGAACACCGAGGGGAACGGATGCCAGGAGCGAACATTCGGAGGCAGTTTGATGTTCAGGTAAAGTTTTGAAAAGGGATAAGAATCAGATATACTTGTAAGGAATTAAATCCTCTGCTTGTTTAGATTTATAACCTTATATTCTTCCAGTTCACTTGAATTCATTGTAGCACAAGGATTTATGCTTTGGTATATTTTGAACTATACTACAAACGAGTTAATAAACATGATTTACCAACAAAACTGCACAAACGAAACTAGATTTAGTCAAGGAAAAATACCAAAATGAAAAAAAATAAAAAAAATGAATGCAGTTATAACTCAAGCAAATGGAACATGTATTACACTGATTTATGATAATAATACCTATGATACTGGCCAGGTTTACTTAGATCTTAGCTAAAAGAATTATTGACAACACACAGACCGGTAGGTAGATATTTAGACAGAAAAGCTAAGTAAATATATGCATTAAAAATAGATACATATAGGTAATAGACATACAACTTTACTGATCAGCTTTGACAAAAAATCTGCGAATTAAGCCAAAGAATTTTGACAAACGATAATGTTCTTCCGATTTCATGCACTCTGGCCCCTGCCTGAAAGCAACCGGCTCTCTTGTGTTCTTGCAGCAACCGGCTCGACAACCTTCCTCGCCTGCAAGAAGCCCGTTGACTGGCATTGCCCAGCAAGCCGGTGAATACATGCGGCGAATCAGCGACTACTTTTACTGGTTCCTCTCTGGCAGCCCACCAATCACGCGCAAGAAGACAAGCGTCCGATATCAGCAGCGACCAGTCAGGAGGCAGCAACAGCATGGGAAAGCACCAATCAGACGCCAGTACAACCAGAGGAGACAGCCAATGAGAAGGAAGCAACAGCCTCCATCCAATAACCAGCCTGTTTACATTCGAGGTCGGAAAGTCGCGGCTGAGGAGCAAAACAGGTGAGATTTTCGTCCAAACATAAACAAAATCAAGAGTACTTCTCCGACATGAGTCAGTGAAAAATAAAACCGTCACATTACACTTTTTCTTTATGTAAGGAATGGGAAATAAAATAATCGCATCAATAGTGTCCAAAAGGCTTCGGAAAAAAAGACGGAGGAAATTTGAACATGCTTTTCAAACGTTTATTTTGGAAACCGGAATCAGAAGAGCACGCCACGAAGCACTCGGACGATCCGCGAAACATAAAAGTGAAGAATTGCGACATTTTTCTCTGGTTTGTGGACGCGCACTCTCGCTGCCGAGCAGTGAAGGGGATTTACGACTCGACTCGAACGGCTTTAGTTACACAACAGTACTCGGATTTTCACGAAGAGTCTCGAAAGTATAATGTTTACTTGCAAACACTCTAAAGCAGGTATACGCATGCATGCAAGGTGTTCTTTGAAAGCACTGTGAGATCTGGTTTATGAATTTTGAGATGAAAAGCCTGCATATGTAAACAAATATATATACATATATTAAATCGGAGAATGATATTCTATTTGTTCAATAGTAATACTAAGAAAACGTATTTGGATTATTTTATTTGAAATATGCATTTACATATACTCAGCTGTAAACGTAAAAACTGATAAATAATCAGTACAGAAACTGATATAAATGCTCTCAAAATTAATTCAAATTCCTCTAGACATAAACGAATATTCTTTAGTGCAATATAAATCACCATATTCCATACCAGCTTCTTCCAAGTTGATTGCGCTTTAGACTTTGTCCGTCTCCATCCACTTATGCATACCAAATGACTTCATATTCAGTTCTAGGTATTCGAGCTTTTAAGTAATTTTAAAGCATCAGCGTCTGAGAAATGCAAAGAAAACAATATACGTGAATCGCAATCTAGTTGACATCGAGAACAATGCATCTAACAAAATGAATTGATTATTCATTTTACATTGCAGCAAATGCAAACTAAGACAAGACAAGTGGTACACAGAGCAGAGCAGAGCAGACAGCAGCTACGTTTTGCAGAAGTGTGTTATATTGATAGACTGTTCACAGAGGGGAGGGAAATGCCCAGAGGAACAGCCACTGAACAACTGCCTGGCAATGATGGCGCTTCACTTACCATTTCCAGACCTTTGTGCTTTGGCTAATGTCCCTCCCTCTTTTCCTCCCCTCCCTCTCTCTCATTCTCTCTCTCTCTCTCTCTCTCTCTCTCTCTCTCTCTCTCTCTCTCTCTCTCTCTCTCTCTCTCTCTCTCTCTCTCTCTCTCTCTCTCTCTCTACTTATTTGTGTGTCTGCATGTAAACTGAGAAAGTACTAACGCCACATAATACCACAACATTAGTCTTTTTCATATTGAATGGTCATATAAATATGAACATTTTGCAACGAATAACGATTATGCTCATAATCTTCAAGACCGGAAGAAATATTATTGTTATTATGCTTATGTGCACCATTTATCGGGGATGAACTGAGGTTGTATACATCGAAAGGTATTTCAGAATCACCTAAAACTTGTATGTGACAGTGAATCATATGCTAATGAATGAGGGCAGTCGTTTAATGGAACGGAATTGACAGCAAATGAGGTCAGTCATTCATCGACATGACTGGAGGCGAGGGGCGGTCAGTTATTGTTCCCCCCCCCACCCCACCCCTCCACCCCCAACCCCGGAAAAAGAAAGCAGAACCGAGGAGGAGGGACGGAGAAGATGGCCGATGGAGACGCTGAATGGCGATGCGATGACGATGACGACGACGATGACGATGACGATGTGACGCGATGACGCGACGGCGATGGCGCTGGGGCCGAATGAATAAGGTTGGGCGAGAGGGGGGGGGGGGGGGTGTCTGCTTGAGGCACGAGGCACGGTGAATCAAGGAAGGAATCAATGAATGGTAACTAAGTGGTAAAGTGTGCCTTAAGGAAGTTAACTGCGTGGCACTTCAAGGAGATGGCGTCTTGGCTGAAGAGTGAATTGGGTGACTCCCTGTGGAGATGTTTGGGACATGGCTCTTTCTGTAGCGTCTTTCTTATTTTTTATTTCTCTTATTCTCCATTCTCTCTATCCGATATATATATATATATATATATTATATATATATATATATATATATATATATATATATATATATATATATATATATATATATATATATATATATATATATATATATATATATATATATTATATATTTATATATATATATTATATATATATCTATATATATATATATATATATATATATATATATATATATATATATACACATGTATATATACGTATAATATATACGCTGCAGCCTCCCCTGGAAGTCCATTCCGTGAAGGCTTCCCGCCTGACGCCTCGCGCTGCCAGCCGCCCTCGGGCCTTGGCGCCAAGCGGTCCTCCCTCAAATGATTCTCTCTTCCTTGCAGCATGGAGGCGCACTACCAGTAGGAGGGGGAAGGAGGAGGAGGAGAAGGAGGCGAAGACGAAGAAGCAGAAGACGAAGAAGGAGAAACAAAGAATGCTACGAATATCGGTTGAACGAGGAAGGAAATAGAAATGGGCATATAAACGATAATGTTGAAAAAGAATATGGATAAACAGGAGAAATGGGAAAGTGTGATGAATGAGGAATAAGGAAAATGGGGGATGATTGAAAATATTTTCACTTTTTGATAATAAAAATTTCGTGTTATTTATTATAATGTTGTTTATTTTTTTTAGAAGATAGATGATCGTACATGAAAAAGACTCAACAGAAAGAGGAAGAGAGCGAGAGAGATAAAAAGTGAATGACAGATGATAACCATGAGCCTTTCACAATGTCCTTCATATCATTCAGTAAATGCATATCATTAATACAACAGCCAACAGGTTGCAATTAATGTGGTACGGATTCAGACGCAGTTCATTCACATAGTTCTTTATTTTCTCTCTTCTCTTCCCTTTGGGACCGCCTTTCCTTTTCCTTTGTGTTCATTACATTCTCCCGATATTGTTCATTTGTCAACATATAGCTGCTGAATATGATAGTTGGAATATGATTGTTTTTAATTATTTTGTTGCGACTGTTATTTTGATTATTTTAGTTGCTACCATTACTGAAACATTTACCAAACACACACGAAAGTGCATATTCATATATAAAAACATTATGCACACACACACATTTGTATATATATATATACATATTTGTAATGCATGCTTTTATGTATAATTATGAACATAAATATATGTCTATATATGTGTATATATACATACAGATATACATATAAACACACACACACACACATATATGTATATGTGTGTGTGTGTGTGTGTGTACACACAGAAAAATATATGTATGTACATACATTATATATATATATATATATATATATATATATATATATATATATATATATATATATATATATATATGTGTGTGTGTGTGTGTGTGTGTGTGTGTGTGTGTGTGTGTGTGTGTGTGTGTGTGTGTGTGTGTGTGTGTGTGTGTGTGTGTGTGTGTGTGTGTGTGTATGTATGTATACACATACGTATGTGTCACTTACAAGTACATATGTTGATATTTATAATATATAAGTAGAAGACAAACTTGTAGATTTGTCAGCTTGTTTGTTTCTTTGTTGTTTACTAGTATATTCGGCATTATTGTACGAGAGGGTCTGAGGCGAAATAAAATTCCTATTTATATGTGTATCATATTTATTATCAAAACAACATAGATATAAAAAGGGAGAAATAAATAGAACTCAATAAATACCTTAGTAACTAGACATAAACTTACCAGTTAACTGAGTTGACCACAGAAGCCACAGCCACTAAAAAAAACTTGACCCTTGACCTCTGACCTTCCCCTTTATATAGAGAGATTTAGTGATGCTTTGAACATCATTCTGGGTCTTGGCTCTTTTGGCTTACGTATATTCTATTCAGCATTAGTTAAAATGATTTTTTTCTCTCTGTGGAGGAGCATGTTATCTGCTAAACATATTACACATTATATCAGACTATATTCTATTGCTTATGGAGTCCTTAAATATTAGAAACTGATCGCGCAAATATGGTTAATCACAAAACATTTCCGTTGGTTTTGAAAGCGCGATAACCACAGAATATTGTCATGGCCCACACACATACTGTAACTAATGAACAAACAAATGGATGCGCATTCGTGTACATGCATTTTTACCTTTATCCCCCTCTCCCGAGCCATTCCCAATTTTTACCTGCCGTCGTCTCTCTCGCGAGCCATTCCCTTTAGATCTGGAAGATATTCCCCGTCTCGATGTGGTTGTGGGGCGGCTGGTGGGGTCCTTCGCTCCCCGTGGCCTCCAGGATCTCGTCTCTGGCCATCTTGTGGAGCGGCAGGAGGGCGCCGAAGATGCTGAGGCAACAGTAGAACGCCAGCATGCTCAGGTATGCCCAGGAATACCCAGCGACCGACGAGGACACATTGCTGTTGCCGTTGAAGAAGAGTTTCCCCAAATTGCTGCTGCTGTTGTTGTCTTCCCTTGCAGGTTCTGCCTCGGCTTCTTCTGCAGGGTTCGACCGCGGGAGGGAGCGGCTGTTCGAGGCTTCGGAGTGAGGGTTCCTCTTCCTCCTCCTCTTGACCTCTCCCTCGCCTTCCGAGAGGTCGAGCTGCTCTAAGAGGAAGCCCAGGAGGGAGACCACATTCCCCGCGTCGCCGCCCGCTTCCCTCCGTGCTCGGGGCAGCTAAGGGAAGTGCCGGGTGAAAGTGGCGGATTTCCGTCGGTGAGATATCAAGTGGTTAAGTGACGCTGCTTGTGATTCGATGAAATGGAAGAGCATGAGGCATTCCAGGGATATAAATAGGTGAGGTATGTGCATAGCGGTAATGAATAAACAAGTGATAACAGTAACGAATAATCTCAATGATTACAACAAAGCTTAAAATAAATGATAAAACATCAACAGCAAAATCTAACAGTAACAAGAATAACAAGTGCTTATATAAACAGAGATCCGCCCGACAAGGTCCAACCAAAAGCCAAGCCTATCTATGTGCACACAACGAGCAAAGGCCACAGGCAGACGATTAGGCAGAGGTCTAGAGGATAAGGCATAAGGCATAAGGTGCCGTGAGCGAGACCCCAAGCCTCGACCAGGGGAGAGCGACGAAAGATCGGGTCGTGCAAGGAAGGCTTCATCTTTGTGTTGTGTTTGCGTTGGTGGAAATGCGGGAGGGGGACGTGTAACAACATTCATTTTCCTTTTCTCTTTTTGCTCTTGATGTGTTGTGTGGGTTGTCTGTTGCCGATTGTAAACGTTAATGCTTGTCGAGGTCGTGGATGGAGGACGACCCGTAATCTCTTTCCTCACCAGGTCGTGCAGACAGGAGCACGCCGAGAATCCTTTCAACTGACAAAGCATTGGCAGAGACTCGAGACCATTCTTCCAAGGTAGACTGTAGGTTGTGGTCAATGAGTTCGCGGGTCGTTTAAGAGGGAGTGGTGGTCGTCAGTGGCCCGTGAACTGTGGTCAGGGTAGTGCTGGCCTCGGGGTTAAGGTGGTGCCTCGCATTAAGCCACGACCGAATGCATGTAGTGCACAGCCCGACCGAGGAGTTTTCGGACGACCATGGCTGCTCTGTCCTGCGCCTAAGGGAGGGAACACATGTTAACGAGGCCTGTGCACACTCACTGGGATTCCGACAGTCAAGCGGGAATTCCACGTTAGAAGCTGTTTGCGACAACATGAAAATGGAAAAGAATGAAACTAATCCCTTTTCGACATTTCTGTAGGTATCAAAATCAAAATTTTTGAACAATGGTTAAATCGAAGTAATGAGATCGACATCGTTTTAGTATAAAGATAATAAAATTCATAATAGATAAGTTCACTTATTATGAATAACAATAAAAAACACACCTTTAAACAAATGCTCAACAAAATAAAATCGTTGTAGTTTCAAAACAAAGTGGTGTGTGTTTCATTTTGGGGACTTGAGGGGATCGCTAAACAGGGTGCTGTTTGGGAACAAATTTTCGATTACATGTCCAGTGAATGACCGATGTCTGCGATGAGTGTTTCAGTATATTCTGAATTTCGAAAACAGGAAAATGCTTGCGACGGAGGGGGGCCTTCTGTCAGTGTCAGTTGTATATGCCAGAAGAGAGTTAAGCAGAAAAGTGTCATGTGAGTCATAATGACGGAGGGAGAGAGAGGGGAGGGGAGGGAGAGGGAGGGAGAGAGAGAGAGAGAGAGAGAGAGAGGAGAGAGAGAGAGAGAGAGAGAGAGAGAGAGAGAGAGAGAGAGAGAGAGAGAGAGAGAGAGAGAGAGAGAGAGAGAGAGAGAGAGAGAGAGAGAGAGAGAGAGAGAGAGAGAGAGACAGACAGACAGACAGACAGACAGACAGACAGACAGAGAGATAGCGAGATAGATGAATAGATGTACAGAGAGAGACATACAGACAGACACACGGGTAGAGACAGGCATCGCGAAATAGAAAAGACTTGAATTCACTTTCGTGCGAGAGAGGAAATCATTTCCCCACAAAGAACGAGCCTGAATTACGACCCATTTCTCTCTCAGAAAGGAAGGCGTCGCACCAGCTACCAAACGCAGCAGAAAATACGCTGATCTCGCATGCCCAGAAATGGCTGAAGAGGAGACAAGAGGAATGAGGGAGATGACTTTGGCGCTTAGCGAAGAAGTGCTTACTATTCTTATTGCAGGAAACTGTTTATTAAGATGTGAAGGAATTGGTTAAATGAGTGATATATTTTATCGCCTTAATGTGATAGATCATAAGAGTATCATTCGCGTAAATTGAGCAGCAAGAAAAATGAAATAGAGCAAACAAACATGTTACAGGAACCAAAGTAAATGAATATATGTATATCTTTTTAAATTAGGGCATCTTATCATATCATTCGATATGTTTTATCATCTGCTATTAATACCAATTTTATAACATACTAATACTCTTACCATCATCATTGTTATCATTATTGTGGTAATCATTATTATGATGATGAAGCTTAATATCATTATAATTATTATTATTATTATCGTTTCGTCTGTTTTTAGGAGTGATAGTTGCAGTTTTATTTTGGGGATTGAGTTGCCAGATGTTGCTTTCTTAAATACGAATAAAAAATGAGTTTATTGCTCATCTGGCAACTCGCGATTTCCTTTGCCCATAGAGAATCTTTAAGAATAAGAGGGTTTAAGGGTGAGATCCTTGCAATTAAGCTCCCAATGCCAACCTTACGGCTTATGGGAAGAACTAAGAAACAAAAGTGTTGCCAGATGCGGAAGTCATGCAAACCCCAAATTATTGCAATGCGATTTATATGAACCAAAACAGGCCGTAAGCTTAGCCTAGATTTAAAGGGTTGAAGACCTTCCTCCACCAGAGTCAGAATATACTTGTTGTTGGTATATATTACCCTAAATGATCTTAGTTATATTCAGTTCATTTGGTATCAGCTTTGAAAAGCAATTAGTATACTTTTTGAAGATTCTAATTCACCAAGAAATGGAATGATATATCACAATGAGTCTGAATAACTGATATAGACACACGTGCGCCCTCCCGTGTCCCCCTTCCTTCCCTTTCCCTGTTTCCCTCTCTTTCCCTCCACACCCCCTGCCTTTCCTTCCATTTTCCGCACTCCCTCTCTTCCCATCTCTCTCTCCATTCTTCAATCTCCATCTTCATTTATACTTCTCTTCCTAAAGTTTCCATCCTCCTTCTTCCCTCCTATCTCTCTTCCTCCAGTTTCCTTTCCCACTTCCATCCTACATCTCTCAGTTTTTCTCCTCTCTCCTACCTTTCTCCCAAGGTTTGCCACCGTCCCTCTTCTCTTTCGTCTCTCTATCTCAGTTCTCTTTCCCTCCTCCCCCCGCATTTCTCTCCCTCCATTTCCCTTGTTCCTCATCCTTCCTACCTCTCTCCCTTCATTCTCCACCCTTCCTCTGCCCTCCTAGTCCCTTTCCATTATTCCATCCATACACCAGTCTCTACCAGCCATCCTCTCTCCACCCTATCCACTGTCCTCCCTCCTTCCCTTCTCTCCTCCCTCCACCTTCCTCTCGCTCTCTTCCATCCTCCACCTTTCACTCACTACTCCCACTCCCCTCTGCAGTGTCTCCAGCCGCTCTTCCCCTTCCCCCTTTCCTGTCTTCCCCTCTTCTTCAA